ATAGGTATTTGTTGTGCCTGGAAATGAACAAATAAATGAATGAAATGAATGAAAGCCCCTCCCACCAAGTGTAGAATTATCAGAGGGTTACCCTTCGTACCCTGGTTCTCTGAGTGTCCCCTTCTTTCCGCAGACAGTCGGAGCGACAGACTGGGAGCCGTTTCAGATCGACGGCAGGTTTTTCCTCGCCGTCGCCAACAGTCAGAAGATCCCTGATCGTGGCACGAGTGTCTACAGCATCAACTCCACCGTGTACGAACTGAACGCGCTCACACAGACCTTCATCCGCTTCCAGGACATCCTCACACACAGGTGAGCGTCACACCTGGGCTCATTTAACATGTCTTCAGATACACTTCCTGCTTTTACCTGCAGATTAAAGGAGCAGCACGAAGATTAAAGGCTGAATAACATTTATTTCAAAGTCACTGTGGAAACGTTGCTGATCATTAAAAGGAAGCCATCAGCACCGAGAGGCCTGATGTTTGTTTAAGGTTTCATTTGGAATTTTATTCATTCGTTTGAGATCTTTTACATTTTATTAAAAAACACATTTTAATAACTTTTCAACATTTTGTTCATAGTATTTTACATCTTTATTCAATTATTTATATTTGCATAATTTGTTCTTTTTTATTATCACTTTTTGATGATTTTGTTAGTTTTTAATTTTTGGATATTTTATTTTATATTTATTTATTATTCCATAAATATTCGTAAATATTATGAACATAATTTTTTAATACATATTATTATATTTATATTAATTCATGTGCATATGTGTGTTAATTTATATTTATTATACTTCATAATATTTTCTGAGGATATTGATCACCTTTCTTTTCCACTTTATTTTTTTTTATTATTTTTGAACTGTAACAGTCATTTTTTGGACATTTTTGAGGATTTCTAAGCTTAGCTGTAGAAACATGTTATCTTTTTTTTCTTTGTTTTTCGGGACTTTCTTCAGTTAATTTAAGACCTGAAAACGTAAATATATTTTAAAGAAGAGGTTCATTGTAAAAATCCCAGAAACAGCTGCTCTTCACAGTGTGTCGTCTTGTTCTCCTCCTTCGTGTGTTCAGTGCGCTGGACTGGGAGTTTTTCACCATCGGAGATGAAAAGTTCCTGGTGGTGGCGAACTCTCACGACGGCAGCTCGTACTCTTTGAACAGCGTTGTCTACAGGTGCGTAAGTGCTCATCTGCTCAGGTGTGACGTGTTTCCTGAGCTCAGGTGACCTCTGTGTGTGATTTTAGGTGGCAGGGTTACGAGGGCTTC